ATTTTTCCCCCTCCTCATTTATCTTGTGTTTTAAATCCTGCCTTAATTCATTCTTGCTTACAGTGCTGTATACTATGGCCTATGCCTTGAGAATGTCTCTTAATTCACTCTTTATAGTAATTTTTCATTACTTTTGGCATACGTGAGGTTTTATAAAAAATTTTGTTTACTTTTTTTATTTCACAGCAATATAAAATTAGCCAACAGTACACACATTTCAGGCTATTTTCCATTAATTTGTAATATTTTCTAGAAAATAAAGTCTTAGTCTTTGGAAACTTAACAGTGAACAGCATAACTGTAATTTGTTAAAAAATGGTTAAGGGTAACATGCCACATACATATTTTCACACCTATTTGTTTATTTCCTTTTATGATAACCTGGTATCTTAACCTGGTAAGACATTGATTGGAAAGTTTAAAGTAATGGAGACGTGGCAGAAGAAATAGACTTTAGAAAGACAGCTCAGTTTGCTTTCTTGGCACGTAATTACTTTCCCACTTTAAATATACTTTCAAACAAGGGAGAAGATAAATGTTGGATAGGCACTATTTTTTTAAAACAAAGAGTAAGTGGTATGTTGACTGGAAACAGTATATATATTTAATGTGTAGAATAATTGTCTTTCAAGAAATAAATATTACTGCTGTATTTGGCTTAGGATAGGTAGGGTACAGATCTGTTCACAGAGTTATTGTGAGTGGTTGTTGAATAACTGGCACCTAACAGTGATGTTTGGAATAGAAATCAGTTTAACAATTTAGCAAAATTTCCCTTAATCTCAGAAGAAATTTATTGACTCGTATAAATATATTGACTATTGGTATAAAAAGTCATTTTGAGACTACTTAGGAAGAGAATTTGCTCGTGAATGAAAAATCTTAACTTCTCTGTAAATGTAATTAAAATCACAGTTAAAATAAAATTTTTTTTTTAGAAATTTTTTTAGAATTTGCTTTTGATATAATTGTTTAAGGGAGCTCTGGTGGCCTAGTGGCAAGAAGCTGCACTATAATCCCCAAGGCACATGGTTCAAATCCACCAGATACTATGCTAGAGAAGTGGCAATCTCCTCCTGTGCCATTCAGATCTGATTCATTGGTATATTTTAAAAAAAAAAAGCACTTCCCCCCCACACACACATTTTTATTCTGCATAAAAGTTTAATGGTCTTTCTGGCTGATCCTAGAAAAAGTTTTTTGGGGTTTTGGGACAGAACAAGAATTCATTGTCCTAAAGTAGATGAGTTTTTCAGTTGTAGTTCATATATATATCTTATCACTTTATGAAATATAAACTATCTTATACTCAATACTTATTTACTGTTGAGTTGGCACTGACTTGTAGCTGATCCTACATTGAGTTTCTGAAGTTGTAAATTGCACTAGAAGATATTTCCCATCTTTCTCCCTCCCTCAGAGCCATTGCGGGATTCAGATTGCTTGGGTGATGTGGCCTTTGGGTGAGCACATAGTTTCCGACAGACTTTGCCTCTAGAGCCCCCTCTTTCATAAACATCAGAATGTAATTTCAGTGTATATGGAAAACACAGTATATAAAGAACTCCTGTAATCATTTATTTTACTAATGTCCAGTATTTCTTTTTATCTGTTTCTCTATTTGGATTTTAATACTTGACATTTTTAAAAATTCATTTGCTAAGCAGAATAGTATAAAATGTAGATCTAAAGTGTCCAGGCAGGCAGTTGGTATTAGAAATTTAATCATGCTAGAAATTAATTCCTGAGAGATTTTAAAAAATAGATTCAGTGTTATTGCCCATATGTATCTGTGTAGATACATGGCTGAACAGGCATGATTAGCCGTATACAATAGATATATAGGTTTGGTCTTTACATTAAAAGGCTCTCTTGTCTGACATTACTCTAGTGCTTTAATTCTCTTTACCAGGTGTCTCTGAAGATGTCTGATTTGAGACCCCGAGTATTTAAATTGGCTCTCTTAAAAGTCTCCCTGGATTTACTTATTAAGTAAGCCTAAAATTTTGCTGGATGACTTGATACTTGTTAGAAGTTGAACAAGATGCTATACTCTTTTGTGTGACTGCTGTTGGCCATAAGGGAATACCTTTAGAGTCTGCTTTACCTCACCTCACCAAGCTGTGTCAATAGTGTAGAAGAGGCAAGCATGATGTTGTTAATTACATTTTGGTTTTAGTTATATATGTGGCTCTTTGGATGTGGATTCATTCTCTGCTAAATCTCTCTGGTATAGCTGTATATAGTTGGTTGGGTAGATGACTAAAGTTAGGATTCTGCTTGTGTGAAATACTGCTCAAGTGGTGGAGGAGAACATGAGAGTTTAAATAGATAATAAAAGAAGACAGATCATAGGCAGTTGAAATTAGCTATTAAAAGAATTTGATTTGATAATAAATTAGTGAATGACCTAACTTTAGGATTCTAATTCTTAATAAAAGTGTAACCTTGATAAAGCTAACTTTTAAACTGATAATAATACTTGAAAAACAAAAAATTGGAACATTTTGTTCACTATCTTTTTCTTTACTACCTGGATTCAGTACTGTCAGTCTATTGGTATGGTTTAAGGTTTCTCAAAGTACAATTCTTGAATATGTAGGAATCAGAATCAGATTGAGGAAAGTAGTGTCTTAATGAGAAAAAGGATATAATTTATACCTTTACACAATTTTGTTCTTAGGATCCCCAGTAGATTTTAACCATTTTTTATTAAGCTGATTAAGTTATGTAATTGCTGTTTTCAAAAAGGTGCTTGTAATGCTATTTGAATAAAAATGTTAAAATCCTTAAATTTATTAGATAATTAAAATAGTTTTACTGTTATTTATTAATTACTTTCCCAAAATAATTAAGGAATAATAACTTCCAGATTTTTTCTGATATTAAGTAGCATTTTATAAAGTTTGGATGCTTACCTGAATTTACTGGTTACTTTTAATTTGAGGTGCAGCTGGTACTTTTAAAGATACTCATAAAATGAAAAAGACACAACATGGCTGCTGCTGAATCTACTACAACCCTTTAGTGATTTATAAGACAGACTTGCTGTGTACCATCGAGTCAGAACCAACCCAGAGCTGACCCTCCAGTGATTTACAGAGGCAGTAAATCACACGGGAGGAGATCTCCCATCTTTCTTCTGCAGAGCATTGGTAAATTCAAACCACATGCCTTTGGATTAGCAGGACAGCTCCTCACCACTGACTACAACTGCCCAGTTGGGTTTTCAAGGTTATAAATCTGAATGGGAGCAGATTGCCTCATCTTTTCCCCTGAAAAGTAGCTGAACTTTCATTTGGCAGTCCAGTGCTTAATCTAAAAGGTCACCAGCACTCCTTACAGTAGCCATATATACCCCCATTTCTTAGAAAGCAATAAACTTTCTAAAGCTGTTGAGATAATAAAATTAATTTTGAATGAAAGAAAATAGATGTTTCCATGTTCCTATGCTAGTATCATCCTGTATTATAATAGTATTCCTATGATTTTTATAGTAATGTGTGAAATGTAGTGAACATTTGGAGAAGGGTACATAAATGACAAGTTTCTGCTCTTTGGAAATTTATATCCTCACATCGTCTTGGCTTTATCATTCTCACATACATTAAATAAATATGTTATTTAATACTCCTAAGAGTTTGAAATTCTTTATTCTCTCTTACAGTTTTACTTTAGAGTTTTTCACATTTAATAGACTCTAAGATCAGTACTAGTTTGAATCAAATAGCTGTTCCTTGTAGGATAAAGATGTGATGATCTGTTCCATAAGGATTACAACCTAAAAATGTCTTCCTGGGCCATGAAGAGTTTGAATTGACTTGACAGTGGTGGGTTTGGTTTTTTTTTATTTTAAAATGGAGTTAGTGTAGGACTTAATAGATTTTAGTTATGAGGGTTATTAATTTTTATTTTATAAAAGCATAAGAAGTAACCAAATAGTTAATCTTACTCTATCAAAGGCAAGAGATATTAAAACCATGATGATTAATAACGAACTGTGGATGGAGTCTTGTCTATTAAAATGAGGTTGAAAATTTGATGCTGCCTAAGGTACATTGGATGGCCTGGTGATCTACTTCCGAAATTTAGCCTTTGAAAATCCCAAAGAGCCCTTCTCCTCACTGACAATTATGGAGTTGCTGGGAGTTTCAATCAACTTAAAGGCAACTGATTTAGTTCTTTTGATACCACTTTTGTCCACAATTAAAATTTGGTTAAAAATTTCAAATGTGCTGTCCATCTTTTCGTGGCCAGAATGGTCTTATTCATAAGTATTTAGATTCAATTATATGAAAAGACTGAAATAGAAAGGAAAGAATAAACTAGAAATAAAAATAACTTTGTTATCACTATTGATTAAGAACATTGTTGTTGTTTTTGTTTTTTTTTTTCCATGAAGCTTGTTTCAAAAACTAAATTCTAAATTGGTATTGGTGCTTTTGTTTCAGCATTAAAGCTGGAAAACTCCTGTCCTACATTCCTTATCAGCTGTATACCAAGCAGTCCAGTGTGCAGAAAAGTCTCAACTTTAATTCCGTGTGCAGACCTGAAGAGCCTGTGCCAGGTCCAAGCAACATAGCTAAACAGCTCAACAACAGGGTGTAAGTTTGTCTAGGTTGCGAATACTACAGACATGGTTTTTAGCAGTGAGTATGCCCCCACTCTGCAGATGGTAGATGAAAACAAATATAAAATCTGGCCGTTAATCATGTATTAGACACATTGAAATGTGCATGTGCAGTGTCTTACCTAAACATTTTTTTGTTGTTGATAATTTTAGAAATAAAATGTAATGAATTTTTCTAGTCAAATTAAGGTCCTATATTAAACCAGTGGCTCTTAAATTATTATTAGTAGATTTCTTCTAATATTTTCCTAAAAGCAGTTCTTTCTACAGAAGTAAGTGGTGTAAAATGTTTTCTTTTCATACCAAATAACTCCTTTTGTCTAGAATTAAAGAAAATGTTAGTATCTCTAGTGTTTGTGGGGGAAATGTCAACTTCTTAACAATTCTAATTATGTAAATATTTCATGTCACTGAAAGCTTAGTTGATAACCTTCAGTTTGGGGGATGAGTCTAGTCTTTGTTCTAGTGTGACTGATTTTAAAAAATATGTATTGATTTAAGCTTTCATGGTATTAATCCTGGATAAAATTGGTTTCAGAATTAATTGGTGTGCTGCCTTAACTTGTATATCAGGTGATTCATTAATACTGGTTTACACCTTATTTATTAAATTGCTTGCCTTGGGAGTTGAATGTATTTTTCCAAAAGGCCAGAAGTCTAATTAACCAGGGAGGATCCAGTATCACTCCCTTCTGTAATATTTGTTATGTCGTTTGTATATTAACTTATGTTCACATTTATTTAAAATATTGACTTTTAAAAATATTAGTCAGGTACAGTAAGATTGGCACAGGATAGAGCAAGGTTTAGGGTTGTTGTACACAGAGTTGCTGTGAGTCACAGGTGATTGAATGGCACAAACAATAGCAAGGTATAATAAATGATACTAGAAAATTTTTTCCACAGATAAACAGCTTTTTACTTAGGCTAGTGAAAGTAGAGAACACATGTTTTGAAATTTTCCTTAGTGATGATTTTAGGGAGCTTTTACCTATCAATTTTTAGTTATTAATGTATTTGTTCCCCCTGTTGGCAATAGATAAACAATAATCTGTTTCCAGTGCTTTGCAAATAGCCTTTTGTCTAGGCGAGAAGCTGTAGTACAGAGGCAGTGTTCATTAGCACTATATGTTTTGGCCATCAGTGTATTCCTGTTGCATATGTTGCTATTATACACGTAAAGAATTTGCAGAGAAACTAGCTTCATTTTGTGTGTGTGTGTGTGTGTGTGAATATTTTTATATGTTCAGTGCATTTTATAAATATCTTTGAAAATGTGGCTTTTTAACCTCTTTCAGTTTTATTTATCAAAGACTAGAATTTCTCTGATAAAACAAATAAGATTTTTTTCACCCGCACCTGCTTTAATTGTTTTCAGTTTCTCTTCTTTTTTCTTTTCACTGGTGTGATCATCTGTGAGGATTGGGATCTCCTCGGTTGGTTGTCATACTCTATGAGTTGGTTAGCCAGAATCAGAGCCAACCCAAAAGTGGGTAGTAATGCTTTGCATCTGATTCATATTTGATTTTCGTATAATCACAGCAATTACTGATGTACCTAGTTGGTATTCGGCTAAGGGGCTTTCAGACAAAACTTGACTTGTTCTGTGGAAATCTTTTTCTGTGCTCTGGTATGTATTAATCAATGGATGCCATCCATTCTTTAAGGAGTACCAGTGCTTCAGTGGTTAAAGCAGTTAGCTACTAACTGAAAGAGCTGAACTCAGTGTCCTGTCAGTGGAAGATAGATGTAACGGTCTGTTTCCTGAAAACCTACAGCCTTGGAAACCCAGTGAGAGACAGTTCTCTGTCCTAAAGGGTCGCTGTGTGTCAGAATTGACTTGACAGCAGTGGCTTTGGTTTTTGTTTTATTCATTCATTGGAGCCTGATTTGCTATTGCATTAAAGCTGTGTACCTTTCTAAGTAGAAAAGAAATTTTACTATAATTCAGCTTTTGATATATAATGATTTTGTTACTTACTTGATTCCTGTGAATGCAGATGGATTTTTGTCTTTATTGCAGAGCAGAACCAAGCAAACATCTAGAAGAGGCAGGGTGTGAATTTAGCATAACATTTGTTATAGGGTCTGCATTTATAAATCTGTCAGGAAATTTGGTCCAGAATTCATTGCATTACCATGACATCTAAGTGCACTTTTCTTAGAAATGAGAAGCCATTTTCTTCGTTAGTAAGGGTATGCATCCTCATTTTTATAGATATAAATTTTAATGTACACATTAACCTAGTTTTTAATATTTGTTGTTAAGTACCATCAAGTCAGAACCGACCCATAGCTAACCCTGATTCAGTGAGTTTTCAGAGACAGTTTAATTGCACAGGAGGAGACTTCCCATCTTTCCGTGGCAGAGCAGCTGGTGGATTTGAACTGCATGCCTTCACGATCACCCAAGAGTTCCCTTGCTTCTTAATTTTTAAATCTGCTTGTATAGCTTTTAGTCTGGTGGAATAAATTTATATAGTCTGTGTTATTAGCTTTTCCTAAATGAAATTAATGATGTGGCCTTAGAAAATTGTATTAGTATTTGATTTAATAAGTTGAATTTCACAAAAATAAATATTCCGATTTCTTACTGATTTTATGGGAATTATTCAAACTGTTTATTAAGCAGTTTACATTTTTGTTCAACCATGAAAAAGATTCCATTGTATTTTTTATTTAACTGTCAAAATTGAGGTGGGAGATGTACCTAAAAGACTATTAATAGTTCTTTCATTTTTTTCTCTGTTATCTTACTACTTTGGGTTAGCAGAAATGCTCTTTGATTAGAAAGAATTAAAATGTGTGTTTTACCTCTTTAGGGATAAAAAAATGAAGTGTATATCACTGACAAACATTGAAATCATTGTTTTAGTTTGATAGTAAAAAAAGTTAATTTCAATACAATTTTTTTTCTTGCTTTAGAAATCACATAATTAAGAAGATAGAGACAGAAAATGAAATCAAAGCCAATGGAATAGACAGTTGGAATGAAGATGCAAATAATGACTCTGAATGTGTGGAGCTGGAACAGATCCTTCTAGAACGGAAACAGAATGGAATTCCACATCACAGAGACAGCTCTGCCATGTTTAATGGTCACACTCCCAGCCCTAATGGTGCCTTAAAGACACAGGATTGCTTCGTTCCCATGGGCAACAGTGTTGCCAGTAGGCTTTCTCCAGACTGTGTGGAGGAGGAAAAGACCGAGAAAAATAGCACTGACTTCAGAGACTGCACTGCACTTCAGCTGCAGCAGAGCAGCGGAAACACAGATGCTCTGCAAGATCCACACAGAACTAATTCTCTCTCATTGTCATCTTTGCATAGTACCACTAAAATAAATGGTGCTCACCAATCCACTGTTCAGGGGCCTTCAAGCACAAAAAGCACTTGTTCAATACCTACTCTTAGCAAGGCAGCACCTTCAGTGCCGTCTAAGCCTTCAGACTGCAGTTTTATTTCAGACTTCTATTCTCGTTCAAGACTACATCACATATCAACGTGGAAGTGTGAATTGACTGAATTTGTCAATACCCTACAAAGACAAAGTAGTGGTGTCTTCCCAGGAAGGGAAAAATTAAAAAAAATGAAAACAGGCAGGACTGCACTTAATGTAACTGACACAGGTAGATACTTCCTAAAATTGCTTTCTTAAGAAAAGGTTCTATTTCCTCATTGTCTTCAGATGGCATTGATTTCTGGTTAATACTAAGTTCTTGTAACAGAAAAGTCTTTAACAACATTAGGTTATGTGGCAGTAAGTAGTATGGATTATAGAACGTGTTCTTATTTATGCTAATGTTTTAAAAATAGATTTAATTGTAGTTATCTGAAAATTTCAAAGTAATTAAAAAGTTGCAAGGCTTAGGTTTTGAGCATCCTTTACATAGACATTAATAGCAGTTGAAGTTCTAACCTGTAAAATTTAACATGAATGGACTATATTTAGTGCTTCATTTTTTTAAAGAATGAAATTTATTTCATAAGAATAATAGTAATTTTCTAGGCATTTGTTTGTAATGAATTTTTAAATAACTTTGAAGGAACAATTGCTGTGGGAGTAAATTTTTGGTACATGTGTTTTCACATATAAGTAGTTAATTGTATTTTTTTTTAAAAAAAAAACTTGTCATCAAAAACAAAATCAGCAGTGTACATTTCTGTGGTTTTGCTTACCTTTGAATCAGAACCAATTTATAGCTGACTCTGGGGCATTTTTCAGAGGCAGTAAATCACTTGAGAGGAGATTGCCCAGTTCTTCAGAGAAGCGGTTGGTGGCTTTGAACCACAAGTCTTTTGATTTGCAGTACAGCTCCTTACCATTATGAATTTAATTTCTGGATTATGGTTTTTAGTTGCCTTTTATCGATTATAGGATGTTTGAGGGTCTTAGGACCAAGGAAGGCCATCTGATCACTAATATTACCTTTAAGTTACAGTTGTGAAAAGTAAAGTACAGAGAAAATCTCATGGTTATATGTTAAAAAATAATAGAACCAACCTGTCTCCCTTTATGGGCTTTTCCTGGTGTGTTTTGCTATGCTTATTTTATTCAACTCATTGCCATCTAGGCAGAACGTCTCTTTATCTAACCCTCTAGGGAGTTTTCAGAAACTCACTCTGGAGGAGATTGCCCATCTTTCTCTCACAGAGCAGCTTGTGGATTTGAACAGTTTACCTCTGGAGTGGAACCAGCATCTCCTTACCCACTAGACCACCAGAGCTTCCTTTGCGATTTTATTACCTGCTTTTAGTAAGAAGTACTTCTTAGACATATCCAGAATAATGTTTATAAATACTATATTATCCTTAGATTATGCCTTGATCTGTACCCTGAAGGTCATTTCATTTTAGAGGCTTTAAATAACTATTAGAAATTATTTTCATGAGTGAGAAATTTTTGTATTTTATAAGCACTCAGTAGATCTTTGGCTTATACGTTCTTACTTTGTTCACTATTTTTAATTTTAGATTGTTTCTGTTATGTTTACATAATTCTAGTATATATCAGAATTGTGATCTTTAAAGTTTATTGTATAAACCATTTTCCAGATTCTTTTTAGAAAGTAGCAGGAAAAGTTACAGTGTTAAAGTGAGAATGTGTTACCTTCAAGGCAGCTTTTGCCTCTTGGTGACCCCATATGTGATGGAATGAAGCATTGCCCTAACCTGTGCCACTCTCCTTTATGTTTGATTCCATTCTTGTGGTTGTTAGGTCAATTCATCTCATTTGTGGCAAGTTTGGTCCCTTCTGAGCCACAGTTTCCCAACTCACTTCAGGGATTAATAACCTCACCTCATAATGCTCAAAGCCTCATTGATTTTAAGAAACTGTGAACAAAGTCTTGGTGCCTTGCTCATTATGAAAATGAGGTAAATTCTGTAACAGCAATACCTTACAAAGGGAGTAGTTGTAGTCTGAATTTTTTTTTTAAAGGATCTAAGGTTATGGAAGCCTTTTATGAGGAATAACCCTCAGACCCTGCTGCTTTTTGAAATGCCAGTGGCATAACTTCAGCAGCAACACAGCATCATGCAGGCCATGGCTTGCTATATCATTAAATGAAATAATATTTCAAATCAAATACCTACACTGTCACCATGTAGCTTCCACACTAACATAAGAAGAAGAGTGATGAGGATCTACTTCTTAAAAAACCCTAAACAACAACAAAAGACCAGTGAAAATTTTATGAAAAGCCATGAAACATTGTCTGGTGTATTGAGCCCACCACATTGGAAATCACTCAGAATACAGTTCGGGAAGGATTACTTTACGAGGATAGAATCAACAGAGTAAATCTTTTAGGATCTTCATGTGTTGTTATGACACAACTTAAAATGGAAAGATAGCTGCAATTGATAATGGGATAGATGAAGTGTGATTCTAATACAGTTGAAATCTTATAAGTTAGAACTAGTAGAAAAAAATGAATGAAGATGGATATCTGAAATTAGTTTATATGGACTAATATTGGCCATTATGAGTTGTATGATCTACTTTGCTGGGAAAGACAAATTGAAGAGGATTTTCAGCAGACCTATATTAAAACATGCAAGCAAGATTCTGCTATAATTATCCAAAAACAACTAGAACAGCACATCAGCATAGAACTACTAGATATGCAGGCTAGGTTTTAAAGAGGCGTGGTACTAGGGATTATAGCCAATGTTAGCTGGATCTTGGCTGAAAGCAGAGAGTACCAGAGAGAGGTTTATCTGTGTTTCATTGACTATGCAAAGCTATTTAACTGTGTCTATCACAACAAACTGTGGCGAACTCTGAGAAGAATGGGAATTTCAGAACACTTGTCTGTACTTAGGCAAAACCTATACTTGGACCAGGAGGCAGTCATCAGAACAGAACAAGGAGACACTGCATGGTTCAAAATTGAGAAAGGTGTACGTCAGAATATATCCTGTCTCCATACCTTTCCATTCTGTATTCAGAAGAGATCATCTGAGAGACTGGGTTCTATGAGGAGGAACGTGACATTAGGATTGGAGAAAGACTCAACAACAACCTGTGTTATGCAGATAACCTTGCTTGCCAGAACTTAGCAGGGCCTGAAGCACTTGCAGAAGGTCAAGAACTGCAGCCTTCAATGTGGATTGAAGCTCAACATCAAGGAAACAAAGATATTCACCACTGTGCCAATTGGCAGCATCATGATAGATGATGAAGAGATTAAAATTGTTAACAGCTTTAGTTTGCTTGGATCCAAAATCAGTACTCTGGAGACCACCAGCCAAGAAATCAAAAGATGAATTGCATTGAGAAAGTTGGCTGTCAGTGACTTCTCCAGAGTACTGAAGAACAATGATGTCAGTCTGGAGACCAAGGTATGCCTGATCCAGGCCATGGTCTTCACTGTTACATGCTATGGACGATGACTAGGAATAGTAGAATTGATGCCTTTGAGCTGTGGTGTTGTAGAAAAGTATTGAATATACCATGGACTGCTAAGAAAACAAACAGATTTATCCTGGAGAGGTTGAAACCAGGCTGCTCATTGGAGGAAAGGATTCTGAAGCGTCGTCTGACATACTTTGGGCATGTTGCAAGAAGAGACCAGTCCTTAGACACATTATGCTTGGGAGGTTGGAGGGACAGAGCAAGAGAGGAAGACCCTCAATGAGATGGATTGACTTAGTGCATGGGGTCATGAGGGTAGGTATGTCAGACAGCTTGGTTTAGGATAGGGCAGGGTTATGAGCTATTGTACTTAGGGTCGCTGTGGATCAGAGGCAACATGAGGGCACCTAACAACAACAACATATTAAAACAGACCTATATTCTAACTCCACAGCTGTGTATTTTTTAGACTAGTTAACCATGTAAGATCAAAAGGGATACAACTAAGAAGGAGGGGGAAAGCTAGGAAAGATGAATGAAGGGAAATGATAATGCAGGAAGGAGGTAGAGAAGTGCTGTTATAGGGTGGAAATTTGCAAACAGTGTCCTGAAAACAAAAGGTATATGGACTGTTAATTAGAAGACATTTACTCTGTAAACTTTTCCCTCAAGTCACAGCAAAAATTTCAAGATTTGACTATTTAATATAATGCTATGGAAGAATATTATTCATGCATCTTCAAGTAAGACCAGTTTATAGGACTATGGCTTCCATTTCTGGACTAGCAACTAAAACTTCAAATGAAGATGACGATTTTTATCAGCCTCTGCTGTCTGAAATTCAAGAAACATGCATGCAGTCAGTGTTTTGCTTTGATAATTATTGGTGATTGGAATGCAAAAATTAGGGAGGGAACAAAGCTTAGTACTAGAAGGCCCTTTGTGCTAGAGCTAGGAATTGAAAGGCTAATAACCTTTTCATTACAAATGCTCATTTTTAGCCACCGAAATGAATGTACACATGGACTTGAGATAAAATATACTAGAATCAAAATCGTGGAAAGAGAAATGGAAGAACTCTATCAGAACAAGGCTCTATGCAAGGTCAAGTTGAAGCTTAAGAAAATTAAAACAAGTCTGAGCATTGAAGTATGACTTAGAGTATATACTCCACATGTTCGTTTAGAAACTAACTTAGAAATAGGTGAACTGAACACTAGTGACGCATCTCAAAATTAAAGAATGACATCAAGGATATCATCCGTGAAGAAAGCAAAATGTTAAAAAGAAAGAAAAATGTGTGTCCCTAGCATGGCCACCATTGGCCCAGCAGCAGATAACCAGCTCGGAGAAGGCCTTGATGCTCAATCTGAAATCTCTGCAGGATGAGCCAGGGGGTGAGGGACACCTTCCAGGTAACCCTGGTGGATGAGTCCGGCCTCTATAACTGGGAAGTGGCTATCTTTGGACCCCCAACACGTCTATGAAGGCAGCTATTGAATTTCCTATTGGCTACCCATATTCACCACCTACCTTCAGATTCTTTACCAAAATGTGGCAGCCCAACATTTAGGAGAATGAAGATGTATGCATTTCAGTTCTTCACCCACCTGTAGATCTACAGAGTGGAGAACTGCCCTCTGAAAGGCGGAATCCTACAGAGAATCTCAGGACTGTCCTGTTAAATGTAATTTCAGTGCTGAATGATCCCAGTACCTTCTCCTCAGCCAATGTGGATGCTTCAGTTATGTTCAGGAAAAGGAGAGACAGTAAAGGAGAAGACAGAGTATGCTGAAATCATTAGAAAACAGGAGTGAAGGTTCCCCCAACCCTGGTGGAACAGTGCATCAAAACTAAAGTGCCTAAAATGACAACAGCTCAGATTTGCTTTATGACAATTTGTATGATGATGACATCATTGATGATGAGGAAGAACATGATGTGCACTGTTACAGTGATGATTCTGGAAATGAGAAATTATGAGGTGCTCCTTCGATGCCCTGTACTGCCCTGCCATTTCAGGCCAAAGGAAGAGGAGCAGGTGGGGACCTAGCAGAGTACCCTAGGCACCTACTGACTCCTCTTACGGATCTCAGTTTGCTCTTTTTTCACAGACCTCTTAATGGAGAGATTCCGTAACCCTGCACAGAATGAGTTCTTGCATTCCTGACTCAGTCCTCCATCACTGGATTGATCCTTTAAAAATTAAAACATAAAACCCACACACCAAATAAAAATGCTGGTCAGCAGAGACCCTGAAATTGATATTGAAGATAGAAAAACTGAAGAAAATAAAAGGATTGAGGGGGGATATTAGAATGACATGTACTAAGGCCTACACAGTTAGGAAATAAAAAGGAGCACACTTGATATTTTTTAAGCTAAAAAATTTAGACCTGAAGTTGGAATATATGAGAATACAAAAGGCAAGATACTGAAACAACATATAAACGTTAAAAGAAGATAGAATACTTGATAAAACTTAGGTCTGCATTCAACCATTTCAGGAAATTGGTCAAGAACAACAGTACTGAAGGAGAAAGCAAAGGCTATAATGAAGGCTTAAGCAAAAAACAAGACTTCTGGAATTGATGGAATACCAGCTGAGATGTTTCATTGAGCAGATGCAATGTTTGGCAGCACACACTCCTCTATGCCATGAAATTTGAAAGTTTGGAAAACTAACTGAAAGAGATCGTATTTGTGTCCATTCCAAAAGAATAATGTGGAAATTATTTGGTAGTATAACTTAAACTACACTGAAATAAAATTTTGTTGGTAATAAAACAAGTTGCTATAATGACAACTGTAAGAACTTAAAGCAGTATTTAGAGGAGGATGTGAAACAAAGGCTATTCTAGCTGATGTCATATGTATCTTGGCTGAAAGCAGAGAAAATCAGAAAGATACATTTGCCCTTATTTTATTGAGTAGATAGAAGGACTCTGCTGTGTAGATCATAAAAATAAAATGTTGGGAAGGATGAGAATTTCACAATATTTAACAGTTCTCATGCAGAACCTTTATATAAACTAACAGGCAGTCATTTAAGCAGAATAAGGTTTTAAAATCAAGAAAGCTGTCTTCTAAATGTATAATTTTATCGTATTTCTATAATTGAATGTAGAGCAAACTGAGCAGCTGGAATACATGAGGAAGAATGTGGTATCCATTATAGGGGAAGATTGATTAACAACTTGTGATGTACAGGTTACACTATGCTTGCTGAAATGGAAGAGGACTTGAAGCATTTATTATCAAAGAGTATATAGCCTTCAGTATGAATTACACCTCAAAATAAAAATCTTTACAACTAGACAAATAAGCAACATCAGGATAAAGAGAAGAATTTAAAGTTATCAAAGATTTCATTCTTCATGGATCTGCAGTCAGTAGCCATGGAAGCCTTAGTCAAGAAATTAAAATAATGAATTGGGCAAATCTGTTACCAAACACAACCTTAAAATGTTAAAAAAGCTGTCATGTTGAGGACTAGGGTGCTGCCAAGCCAAGCTATGTTCCTAATTGTTTCACGTGTGTTGAAAAGCTGGGTAATAAAGAAATCAGAAGAGTTACTCATGCCTTTAAGCTATGATGATGGCAAAAAACATTGAATATACTGTGAACTGCCAAAAGATGAGCAAATTATTCTTAAAGTACAGACAGTGATGATCCTTAGATGTGAGTGTAGGCTTTGTTACATACAGCCTTGTTACCAAGAGGGGCCAGTCCCTGGAGAAGGACATGGTGCTTGGAAGAGGGTTAGCCAAAAAGCGGAAGACCTTGAATGAGATGGATTCATGAGGGGACTTCAGCTGTGGACTTCAGCAGATCAGTGATTGTGAAGATGATGCAGCACCAGGCCATTATTTTGTTCTGTATATGAAGTCATTGAGTCATTAGCAATTGCTATTTTATAAGAGAATGTTTGTAGAGTATATAGAAAAGTGAATGTAAAAACTGCGTAGCTCCATGTAACTAAACATGTAAATTTTAAGCTTTTACAAAATGATCATTCAAAAGTAACTTTTAGGCTATTTTGACATGGGAAAACATGTATGTCTGTGTTGCTTTTTAAATTATGTTTGAAAACGAAATTGATATTTGCATTATTTTCAGGAGCTAAAGGACCTTAAATTTGGTTTTTCAAATTGTAGAAATCTTTTCCTGCTTTTATTCTTGATTTTTTGTTGTTTATTCTTAAATCACATTATCTTAGTGTCTTTTATGTATAAATATTATAGAACTAATTTTTTTTTAATTTATTAATAATTTTAATGAACATTAACAGATTTTTTAATTTCCATTCATTCATTCATTGCTGCACTTCCCTCCCCCCAAGCCCTCCCCCACCCCAAGACCTAATTTTTTTTAATAGTAAGAATTAGTTTGGGGTTTTAATCTTCTCCTTTTCCTTTTAGGAAATGTATCAGCGTTGAGTTCACCCAGACATCAGAGTTGTATAATGCATGTTGATATGGATTGCTTCTTTGTATCAGTGGGTATACGAAATAGACCAGATCTCAAAGGTCTGTATTTTTATTTATGTTCCAGAAATTATTGTATTGTCTTAAATATTTGTGTTAAAGTATATCTTAGATAGACATCTTTTAAAAGTTAATTTCTGCAGTTGTTCCTCCATCCAGAGTTTCTGGACAAATAGGGAAATGGGAGAACATTTGTCACTCTAATGATAAAGTCTTAAGGGAAAAATATGCATCTTCAAATATTTCTGTATTGTAGGTTGAGACCAGCATTGGGTCTTTTTTCCCTATATTTTTGCCTATCTGTACTATTTTTTTAGTAATTAGAAATTTTATGATAGCCTATGCCTATGCCGCTGAAATGTAACAAAAAAGACTTGGGCCACTACTATAAATAAATAACTTCTGATGCTGCTGAACATCCCAACTTTTTGCTTATAGAATAAACTTACATTATTAAGCATTTAACTCTTAGCATTTTCTTCTTAATTTTTTTTTCCTTAAGGGAAAAATTACAGATTATAGCATGGAAAGTGTTGATTTTTATCATTATGACTCGTTCTGAAAGAAATATTTAGAAAGTTAAAGAATTTATTTTAGCTTCATGTCTAGCATCACTTTTCAAATTTTTTGTTTCTCTTAAGCAAAATTACTGAAATGGCCCTTAAATAGTGAGTGCCTAAGCATTTGTCCCTATTAGATGTGTCATACTACAGTAATTGTCCTTTGTGTCTGATAGCATGTTTTCAGAGTTGATCCAGGTTTTAGCTTCTGTCAGTACTTCATTTCTCCTTATGGCTGAGTAATACTTACGAATATAACTTTTAGGTGCATTTTTAAGCTTTTTTTGCAAAAACCAATTCTGTAAAATATATTTAAATTGTTCATACTATTGGTTCATGGTGTTATTATTTTGTAACTGAAAAAAACCGAAAAGAAATGACACTTGAAAGTAATTTTTTAACTCTCACAAAGCCTTAATCTGAAGAACTGTATAATCTTGTTTTATGGTAAGTCATACTGTGATGACTATGTCTGTAATATTTGTTTCTTCCTGTAAAATTGAAATATTAGTAATTACTGCTCTACATTTCTGATAACATAACCAAGAATATAAAGTCTGTTCTTAGTTATAGTTTTCCCCTATCTCCTCACCCTCCCAAGTTGAGTCTAGATTCTGAGTTGCTTGTTTTCTCTTTTATTAAATGAAGCAGAAATCATTGGATGGTAGCAGCTAACACTGCTGCTTGAAATTGGAATGTATATCAAAATTGTCACCCATATTTTTTTTTTTGTCACCCGTAGTTTTAGGCTGAAAATGAAATGATTTTGGAATTCTTTTAAAAGGCATTAGTTTCTGTAAGGATCAGAGCCTAAATAAACTAAAGAAAAAAATGTGTTCATTAAAAAAAAGTCCTTTGAAAACTTTTCCTTTATATATTGTGAATACTGTTAGTTAACATTCTGTACTTAGATTTAGAAATTATTTTCTTCTTTTCCTCCCAGGAAAGCCAGTGGCTGTCACAAGTAACAGAGGCACAGGAAGGGCACCTTTACGCCCTGGTGTTAACCCCCTGTTGGAGTGGCATTATTATCAGAATAAAGTCCTGAAAGGCAAAGCAGGTACAAATAATGAGCTGTCTTTGAAGTTATAGTGCTCTTGTGGAAGACTTCTGCATTTTACTGTTGGTGTTAATGTCACAGAAATGAAAATAGAGTTGTAATAATTAGCTTTTTTTCGTTCAGAGGTTTTAAAGATGTCAGTGACATCTTAAAAGTAAAATCTGAATGCCATGCATATGACTGAATTACATTTATTTTCTCAGAATTAATGCTTCCTTGAATGAGATGGTAATGTCTAAAGACAGTGATGAATGTTTTAAAGAATGTAATTAGTTTGCTTTGCATATATTTAGGCTCATGATGAAAGTGATGGACATCATTTACAGAAGCCTCAAAACTCTTGAGCCAACAATTACAAGTTATTTGTTCATTGTTTCACAGTAGGGACAGTAAATGAGTGTTACTGTCAGATTTGTGTGAGGAAGTGTGGGATAAGAAACAACATTTTTAATTTATTGAAATAATAATCATTCCTATTTCCTTTTATGAATCTACTTTTAAGAAACAGTTCTCATTTCTAACTTTTGTGGTTTAAGTAAAATTAATAAATTATACTAATTGCAGTACCATTTAAGGTTTTAAAAAAATATATTTTTTCCTTTTGAAAAATTAAGTTCTGTGACCTTGATGATAGTTTCTTCATAGATTTCTACAAAGCCAAGTTTTTAAAATTTGCATTTCAGGAAAAGAATTGTCAAGAATGACAGAGTACAGGATACTAGAAGGGGTGCAGTTTTTCTCCATTTTTTCAATTCTATTTAAAAAAATCATAGTTATTTTATAATTTATTTCAATGAAATTAAAGCAGAAAGAAAGCCAGTGCATGTATCTCAGCACTTTTTTGGGGTTTTGTTTTTCTGAGATTACAGTCTTTTTGTTCAATGTAGTCATCTATTTCTATGGTACAGGTACAGTAAAAATGATTATGAATACATAGTTTTTCAGGTTCTCTGAAATGTAGTTTTTGCACTTTTAAATGTCTTTATTTTCAGGGATTTTGATAGCAGTCTCATTAGAAATTTGTGTGTCACTACAGGTCTTTGAGCAACTGCTCTCTGTGTAGAATTGTTCTTGAGATAAAGTGTATTGTGGTATTTGGCACTGTGGGTAGTAAGTATGGTGGTAGAGTTTTTTTGTGGTAGGTTGACTTCCCCACCCTTCATATTTTCTATTAGATATGGTACTATTAAAAAGGTAAAATTAAGAGCTTTAAAATAACAAAAAAAAATATGTAACTGAAGGAAATGCACAAGACTTGTCACATATTGGGGATTCATAAATACTTAATGAATGTTCAAAGAAATAATACTATACTGTGTGCGTACCATTCAGTGGTAGCTCCTCGGGTCCTTAATGTTTAGGGTTCTGTGTGAGCATAGTCTTAACATCTGCTACACATGGCCTTCATTCAGCAGTCTGGATTGAATGTTTTGACTTTGGTAGGCATACATTCCTTAGAAGTAGCAGAGCTGCTGGGTCTCTTCTTTCCTTCTATCACAGTTGAGTCTGAACTGTCTGTCTTCATCGATTTTGTCACTAGATTTTCATGGAGTTTAATGAACTTCTCATCATTCTCCCCTCAAATGTGGGTGGTAGCCCAGAAGGTAAATTATTAGGAGGAATATTTAAATTACATTTGCCATTGAAAACTGCCATTTTTTCTATTACAGAAAAAGTTATTATGATACTTTGTATTTTATACTCTTGCTTTTAGCTTGATTCCAATCATTTTTATGTCCTAATTCTTTGACCTACAAGGAGCTTTCCATAATATTTACTACATTATGAAATTAATAGATTGTCATATTAGCATATTTCATTACAACTAAGCTTGTGCTTAGAACTTATTTTTTCAGTGCCTTGTTCCTCTTTTCTTATTTCCTGATCTTTCTTTCTCTGGGTCATTATTAGACGTGGCACTAACTTAAAACATTGACGATCAATTTAAGCATTGGAATCTTTGGCTTCCACGTACTAACTTTAAAAAAAGATTTTTCCCCCCCTTTCTATTGTTCTGACTTCCATGGTTAGATAAAGTGTTAAAACATCCAACATCTTTAGTCCTGTATAGAAACTTCAGTTTCTTAGTCCCTATATTCAGACACTCTTTGTCTAAACAGATGAGTATAACTACGAGATCTCCGTCTATACTTCCTTTTTGAGGCTGCTTCCTGAGCAATATTCAGTGGTGATCTCAATGATGGTCTCATTTTAGAATCCATTTACACTCAAGATTTCATGGTTGGGGTCTTTTTTACCTCATCCAGGATTCTTAGGATGCACATGTTTCCTATCTTTTCAGCCAACAACTTCTGTTTTCATTCTAAAGAACTACAATATTTAAAATCGTATTAGTCATAGATTTATTCTCAGCGATTTCTTTTTCACAGACGTGGGTCCTGGCCTCTGATCTCTCCAACCGTTCCTCCACATTCTCCATGTGCCCGTCTAGTTTCTCAAGTTTTGATGCGCAGTTCTCTGCTTTGCCCTCCAGTGAGGACACTATCCCTGCATTGCCCTGAATCTCACATGAAGCAACTCACTCCGCTCATGGAGGGATCCACGCACTCTGCTACTCTGTGGAAAAGGTCAGCCAGCCCAGTGAAGAGATACACAGTGGATGCTGCAGCTCAGGCCAGGTCATTGGGAGCGCATGGACCAGAGCAACTGTTCACCCCTCAAGCATGATTTTTCTCTAGTTTCCAAACAAGGCTGCACTTTAAATACAGAAGTCATATAACTCACCAACTTCAAGGCATAACCAACCCATAGTCGCACCTTTGAAAAACGTCTGATTTTTATTGTTCAGGTGTCAACACTTTTTTTGTATAGTAACACCCTCTGTTGCAGTGATTTACAATACTATATTTCTTATATACATTTCAGTTTAGAATGATGGACTGTTGAAGATGACAAGAGGATTCCAAGAGCCTTGAAAACCACTGAGTGATCTACTTGGCAATGAGGCTTTGTGACAGTATATAGCACAGTGCTTGTTGCTTAGGAATCAGAAACTAAGCTCAAATGCATCTAGTATGATGTTATTTTTGAAGCAAGTAGGTTTTACCCCATTGGGATAGCAATCCTTAGAGTTTGGTTTGCTTTGTGTATGTGCATGCTAGAATATGGAAATGCTTGTGTGTGTTGCATAACTGAAGTGGTAGATGATGATTTCTTGAGCCACACTGAAAAGAGTTGTCTTAGCCTAATACGAAGCTAGATAATTTTGATATGTTTTTCTGGTGGTAAATAAACTGCTGATTTTTCTTGGAACGTTAAGTGTGAAAATAAATAGAAAAGAAATGCTGGGTTTGTTAGTTATTTATTGTTAACAGTGTACTCAGATGCATTTTTCTTAGCATTTACTTGAGAGATATCTCATGATCTTGATTTAGTAATGGTTTGTTTGTTTATCATAGTGGAGATGTGGTTAAGGTTGTTTTTCTAGAGTATGTGGAATGTAGTATCTCCAGAGACCCATAACTGGAATGGTTTTAAATCTGTTTCTCAGTAATCGTGAAGCTAAAGATGACAAAGAAAGTCAACTGACAGGCTGCCAATAGGCTCACTAAACTATATGGTTTATTTTTCTGTTTAAAGTTGTATTTACATATTTATTAAGAGTTACTGGATAGCTGCACTATTCAGACTACAACTTAGTCTTTAAAGCAATTGGTAGTCTCATCACACCTCAGTGTTTTTAATTGAACATACATTGTTAAACCAAAAGCAGAATAAAAAACATAATGTTGTGAGGCTTTTTTACCTGTTAGATGTTCCAAAACCATTAAATTTAAAATGCAGGGGTTTTTTTTTTGTTTTTTTTTTTGGCTCTGTGGCCTACTGGCTTTTGAATGGATAGCTTACAGTATTTTAATGTTTGTGGAATCTGCCTAATATCTTTTAAGTTTACAGATAGCTCCTTTAAGAAACAGCAAAGAGCATTCAGAGAAATTTATGTTTTTCCATTACAGAGAAGCTTATCATTTTAAGGCAGTTAAGTGAGGGTTCATCTTTCTGATCACTTTTTATCTTTACCAATCTTAAAAGAATGTATTGAACAAACATTTTCTGTGTATTTTTATCTCTAGTACTAAAACAGTTTTTTATGATGTTTAACTGATTGCTGATGAAGTGTATAATAGAAATAAAACATTTTATAAATCTAGATTCTTATTTTTTTAAGATAAGGAATACCAGTTGGAAACAATTTTATTTGGAATTTAAACATTTGAATAGGAAAACAATGGAAAGTTAATTTCTTGAATAAATTTTTTTAAAAACATTTTTAACATATAATCATTTAATATTATTCTTTTTAAAGCAGAAATACCTGATCCATCAGTTTGGGAGAATCAAGATTTTGCACAAATCAATGGAATGGATTCTGTTTTGTCAAAGGCTGAAATTGCATCTTGTAGTTATGAAGCCAGGTATGTAGAAGTTGTACATTGTTACACTTACTGAATATTTAACTGAGGTAACATTTTATATAATGTTAGGTGAAATTAGACCTTATGTTCATAAGGTTTATGTTTGCATTTCCATTTAAATAAGATACATAAGTTAATAATTACCTGAATTGCTGTGAAAACCAAAAGAAATAGAGTTCTATCAATTTTTTTTTCTTTTGAAGCATAGTAAATAATTTTGCTAAAAGAAAAACTTTTAATCTTTCCTTTTTCTGGCTTAAAAAAAAAAGGCCACCCTGAAATCTATACCTTCTCATTCTAAAGTGGTTTATTTGGTGGAGGGTTTTTTTTTAGTATGTTAAAATTCAGTTGTCTTATAAATTACTGTTATTGTTAGGCACTGTTGTGTTGATTTAGGTTTGTAATGATCCCACAATAGAATACAACTGTCCCTAAGGGTTTCCTAGGCTGTAATCTTTATGGATCAGAACTCTGGTGGCATAGTGCGTGAGCTGCTAACCAAAAGGTCAGCACTTTGAATACACTAGCTGCTCCAAAAGGGAAAGATGAGCTGTCCTCTTTTGTCAAGATTTACAGGCTCAGAAGCTCAATGAAAGGTCACTATGAGTCAGAATTGACTTGATGTCAGTGATTTGAGTATGGGATAATCTTTACTAGAGCATCTTCAGAGCTTTTCTCCTGCAGAGCTGCTGGGTGAGTTCAGACTACCCAAATGGTTAGTAGCCAAACACTTAAATGTTTAGCTACCTTATTTTATTTTTCTGTTAAATTACGAAGAAATATGTCTGTATTGGCATATCTAATATTGTTTTTCTTTAAAATTGGGTTCTTACCCAATTTTATTTATTGTCAGCTTCAAAAACCCTTGTCGTGCAGTAGTTAAATATTTGACTTCTAACTGCAAGGTGGTTGACACTTTGCCTCCACCAGGTGCTCTGCAGGGAAAACATGGAAAGACATTCTCCTTCCCTAACATTTATACCCTTGGCAACCTGGTGAAGTAAAAATACACTTGGTGGCAGTGGTTTTTAGCTGCTTTACAGAAGAAAACTCTTGACAATCTGTTTCTGTAAAAATTAGGACCTTGGACAAAACAGTTGGTCTAAAGTTGCTTGGGATATCCGGAAGGAGGAATGTCAGGAATAGAAGGATGCTGTGGTGAAGCTTCCCCTCACATAGTTTGGGAATGTTGATAGGAGAGGCTATTCCTTGGAAAGAGACGTCATGCTTAGAAAGATGGAAGGTCAGTGAAAGAAGAAACCATCAGTGAGATGAATTGACACAGTGACTGCAGCAGTAGGCTCGAGATGATAAGGATGGCACAGGATAGGACAGAGATCTTTGTTGTTCATAGAGTTGCCGTGAGTCATACTTGATAGCACCTAACAGCAACAGCATAGTACATCAACTGATTGCTCTTATGTCTTAGTGGTAAGAAATTTTGCTGCCAGCTCAAAAGCATGCATTTCAAAGCCCCCCTCCCCAAGCTGCTCCATGGCAGAAAGATGATCATTCTGCTCCCTTGTTGTTTACTGCCTCTGCCTTGCTACTTATATTGCCTCCAAAAACCCACTGGAGGGATGGCTGTGACTTTAAAGTACATAACAACAACTGTATATTGACCAAGAACTGTCACACATTCAAGCTGGATACCAGACATCCAGGCTGGATTCAGAAGAGATCATGGCATGGGGCTATCATTTCTGATGTCACAAGAATCTTGGGTGAGAACAAAGAATACCAGAAAGCTGTTTATTTGTGTTTTAATGATCATGCAAAGGCTTTTAACTCGTGACACATTATGGGTAACATTGAGAAGAATGGGAATCCCGGAACATTTAATTGTACTCGTGCGAAACATAGACTAAGGCAGTTGTCCAAACACTGTGTGGTTTAAAATCTGGAAAAACGCATCAGGGCTATCTGTATCTTTTCAACATATCTGTTCAGTCTGTATCCTGAGCTAATCATTCAAGAGTCTAGACTTTATGAAAATAAAAGTGGCATCAGGATTAGAGGAAGGCCCATCAACAGCCTGCACTATGTAGATGACACAACTTTGCTTGTGAAGAGGACTTGAAATATTTGCTACTAAAGATGAAGGACTACAGCCTTTAATATTAATTACACGTCAACATCAAGAAAATAAAAATTCTTAGCACTGGATTGATAGGCAACATCATGGTAGATGGAGAAAAGATTGATGTTTTCTTCGGTCTACAGTCAACACTCATGTAAGTAGTCATGAAAATAAAAGATGTTACATTGGGAAAATCAACTGTCAAGAATCACTCTAGGATGCTAAAAAGGGCAAGAATGTCCATTGAAATACTAAAGTGCACCTCATCCAAGCAATGGTCTTTTCAGTTATTTCCTATGTATCTGAATGTTGGATAATGAATAATTATGGCAGAAGAATCAATGCCTTTATATCGTGTTGGAGAAAAGTACTGAGTATCTTAAGACCTGCCAAAAGAATAAACAAGTCTGTCTTTGAAGAAATGCAACCAGGGTGCTCCCTGGAGGTGGTGAAGCTTCATCTTACCATACATGGCATCTTACCATACCTGGCACGCTGAGAAAAGTGAGTCGGCGAAAGAAAGGAAGACTCTTAACAAGATGGTTTTGCACAGTGACTGTAACAATGGGTTTGAGCCTATATTGGAAATCATATGGATAGCTCACGATAGGGCAAGTTTTCCGTCTGTTGTTTATAGGGTTGCTACTGGTACTAATCTGCTTCATGACACCTAACAAAAGCAGTGGATATTTACCTGAATGCCTCTGTAACAATTTATTATTTAATCATGGGACCAGAAGAACGAAATGTTTCCCAGTACCGTTACTGAACATTTTGATCAGAAAGTCTTCAGTACAATTTTTTTATCAAAAGAGGGAAATGCAGAACAGAAGTACAAATTCTCATGAATTTCAGACTTCCTGGAGCCACGATATTTGGAGTTGAACTCCTGAAACTGTTTCTTTGAAATTATCTTTAAATCTTAGGCCCGAATATCCTCTGAAGTCTTCTTCCAGCCAAACTGTACTTTTTTTTTTTTTTTTTTTCCATGCCCAATAGATGTGAGCCGGTCCTGGGCGGTAGAGTTCAGACTGTAGGCCATGGTTATTGAATCGATATTTAAAAAGTTATTTTCAAACTCATTTCGACTGCGCCAGCAGGCCTTCATGGTCCCCATGGCTTGGCCATTATGTAGAAATCCAGTTTTTAAAGGGGCTCTAATCTCCTGAGCAGCAAGTCCTGCTGTTGACATTGTGCCTTATTCTGGGATGACTCCAAATGTGTGAAGTCTAAAGATTTGTAGTCAACCAGTAGCTTTCATTTCCCCGGCGGAGCGCGGCTGCCCCACGGCGCCCTGCCACGCATGTCCGTCCCGGCTGGCTCAGCGCCGCGGGCTCAGGGGCCCGGGCATCGCGCAGGCGCTCCACCGCCTGCCTCGCTCGACCACCCGCTCACAGTTACTGCCTCACACTCGGCCCCAAACTGTACTTTAGACAAACCTTTCTTTAGCTTAAAAAAAACAAAACACCAAAACCCAAACCCTCCTACCTTTTTAAAAAGCATTATGCTTTTGTAACAACTATTTGAAAACAAATTGACAACAGCCACCTGAAAGAACATCAGGGAGCGGTTAGTTGTCTAGCGAGGGAGGAACAGTTCAGAAAAAAGGGGATGAGACTGCATAACTCAAAGATTGTGATCATTGTCTCTGGATTGTACATTTCTGAATCTTTGAATTGGTTTATGTTTTCTTTGTATATTCTCACAAGAAAAACAGAAGATTATAGCCTTGGAAACCCTGTAGAACAGATAGATTTACTGTGAATCAGAATTGAGTGTATACCAGTTGATTTTCTTTTGGATTTACTATAAAGAAACAAGCTTTGTACATAGTAACTGAGAAAATGGATATATAGATTAAGAAGTAATTGTATATGTACAAGGGTCCTAAGATCATAGGTTTCTAAGATCATGTAATTTAGACAAATTTGTTTTGTTTTTGTACAGTCCTGTGTAATTTGGAATTAGTAATAGGAATGTCTTTTTACCCTGTTAATATTTATATTGTCTTAGTCTAGCACCAGATATGATGATATTGTTGTTGAGTTATTTTTATATGACTGTGAGGATCATAAAAAATTATGGCTATCATTAAGAATGGGAATCTCAGCACACTTAACTATGCTTGTATGAAACCTATGCCTAGACCAAGAAGTGGTTGTCCTAACAGTGCAAGGGAACACTGCATGGTTTAACTTAGGAAATATGTATGTTAGGGTTGTATCCTTTCTCCATACCTGTTCAGTCTATACGCTAAGCAAATCATTTGAGAAGCTGGACTCTGAAGAAGAATGTGGGATCCAGGATCAGAGGAAGGCTCACAATAACCTGTGTTATGCAGATGACACAACCTTGCTTGCTGAAGATGAGGAAGACTTGAATTGCTTGCTGCAGAAAATCAAAGACCACAGCCTTCAAATGTGGATTCCATCTCAACATCAAGAAGACAAAAAATCCTCACCACTGGACTGATAAGCTGCATCATGATAAATGGGGGAAAAAATTGAAGTTGTCAATGATTTCATCTTACTTGGATCCACAATCAGCACCCCTGGTATTAGCACTCAGGAGTTCAGGAGGCATGTTGCATTGGGTAAGTCTGCTGTCAGGGACCTCTCCAAACTACTGAGAAGCAGTGATGTCAGTTTTCAGTCTAAGATGTGCCTAGTTTCAGGCCATATTCGTTTTTTTTTGGTGGTTTTTTTTTAAATCACTTGCTATGCGTCTGAAAGCTGGACAGTGAATAAGATAACAGAAGAAGAATTGATGGCTTTGAGCTGTGGTGTTGGAGAAGAGTACTGAATATCCCAAGGCCTGACGAATAGATATGCCTTGGAGAAGGTGCAGCCAGAGTGTTTCTTGGAAGCAAGGATGGTGAAGCTTCGTCTCACATACTTTGAGCATGTTGCTAGGAGAGGCCTCTTCCCTTGGAGTGGGACATCATGCTTGGAGAGGTGGAGGGTTAGTAAAATAGAGAAAGGCCCTCAATGAGACTTGACACAGTGACTGCGGCAGTGGGCTCAGGAGTATCAGATTGTGAGAATGGCACAGGATAGGACAGGGTTCAGATCTGTTGTTCATACTCTATGAGTCATATTGACAGCACCTAAGAAGAACAGCACGAGATAGTTTTGAGGAAAAAATGTTGAAAGTTATAAAATAAGTTTATACAATTTAAAGTTGAAGATAAACTATTTCTGCAGCGTATACTTAGAAAGCAAAAAACCTCTTTGTCATTGCATCGGAACTGACACATAGCTAACCTTCCAGTGAATTTTTGAGGTTTTAAATCCAGGGAAAGAATAACCTATCTTTTTCCCATGGAGAAATTGAATTTGAACCTCCAAAGAACAGCTGCTTTTGGGTTAGCAGCACAACTCCTACAGACTATGCCACCAGAGGTCCCTTTTTTTAAGGTAGAGACCATATTTTCACACTTTTAATTGGCAGCTACCCAAGACCCATGCAACTGAGAATCTATTAAACAGTCCCGGCTCCTTGAATAGAGTATACTTGCCATTGGCTTAAATTGTCCTTACTTTTCTCTCACTCTCTGTTAAATGGTGTCAGAACCCACTGACAGACACCAAACCTTGGGTGATAAGAAAGTTTGTAATAAAGAGGTACAATTTTAAGTTTCTGAGATTGTAAATCTTTACAGGAGAAGACTTCCCATCTTCTTCCAAAGGAGCAACTTAGAGCACTCCATCAGGCAGCCTTTGAATTATGCATACCCTGTACTACCAGAGTGTCTAAAAAACAATCTTTCTGCCATCAAGCCAATTCAAAGTTATAGTGTCCCTAAAGGACTGAATAGCACTGACCCTGATCCATCAGGGTTCCAAGGCTTTAATCTTTAAAGAAGCAAACTGCCTTATCCTATGAAGTAGAACGTGGATTTTTAACCCCAACTTTTAGGTTAGTAGCTGATAGCTTAAGCACTACACACTACACCATGAGGGCACATTTTATATAACTTACATAATTAATAATGACACTTAAATATCTTCCTCTGTGGAATTTAGATGTATTTTTATAACCTTTCTAAACAATTTTATATATTTTTTCAATAGAAAATCTGTGTTTTAATACAATTGATTCTTTATATATATTATTTATTTTAACTTTATTTTTATATGTATTAAATATATATTGATATACACAAGTCTAGTTCATCCTATGCTACATGAATGAAAGTCCATTCTCATGAACATTGTTTGTTTTGTCATTTTACAATACTCTCCATCTTGCAAAATGCGTGACACTTAAAGATTTGTTGAATGAACTGAGCACTTGTGTTTTTAAGAAAAATGGTCATTTCCCTGACCATTTTTCTTTGCTAGTAACTATTTCCAACCTAAAGAGTTATACTGTCTTCTGTATTCATAAATTTATCTCTGTGTATAAATGTAATTTTGCATCCACCTCTGAATATGTGAAGAACTCTTTTTTCCTTGGCTCTCAGCAGTGGTGTGAATGTGCGGGGATGAGGCCAGAAAGTATCTGTGTAGTTGAGAATTGGTTGTAGATAAGGGAGCTCTGGTGGCGTAGTCCGAAGGGGATTTTTTTTGCTTACCCGAAGACCACGCTTCTGTTAGTTCAAACCCATGAGTGGCTCTCTGAGAGACAGATAGGCGGTCATCTCTTGTGTGATTTACAGCCTTGGAAACCCATTTGAGGGTCAGTTGTGAGTGAGTTCCAACTCACCAACTGTGAGTGATTTGTATATGTTTCTTAAAACACTCCTTTGTACTAAATAAGCAGTTACAGCTGTTTATTGGGTAAATTACTGTATAGACTAACCTCTTGATTTATTTACATAAAAATGTGTGAGCTCATGAAAAAGTGCCTTGTTATTTTGCTTTGGTTTTTACTGCATTGTTTTTTATTGATTTATTATAGACTATGAAATGGAATTTTACAATTTATTTGTTATTCTGTAATTGTAATTATTGTGCTGAGCCCCTCAGCTATCAAAGGATAGTGTGGGATATGTGCAACAGTGAATGAATAGAAATTTAAAAGAAAAAACAAAACAAAACCAAAGGGTAGTGTGGGGCATTTAGACACTCAGTAGATTTAAAATTTACCATTTTCAATTAGGTCTCTCAAAGTTCTGGAACACTGGCTCCTGCCCAGAATGATGTGCTGCCATATACATGCTGTTGGCATCTCAGCCACTGTGAAGCCACCTCAGGAGCATGGAATTGGTCAATTGGGAATTGGGTGGTAATAGGATGAGTACATTTTGTCTGTTTGTCACATAGCACTGTTTGTGTAGTTCTTTCGTTTATATTCTGTTTTTTGGGGATGAACCCTGACCAAACTGTGCCATTTATTTAGGAAAGAAAATAACTTTTTGAAATAACATTCCTGCTCTGTGGTCGTTGGGATATCCCCAGCATATATGGCATGCTGGCATCTCTGCAAAGGGACTGGAGCCCTGGGTCCTAGGAGAATTCTCCAGTTAACAGACAAGAGCCAAACCTGATCTTTCAGTTAACATCATGTCATCTACATGTGTCATTTACCCTAAGCATATAATTGTATAGTTTTCCTTTGAAGGGAAAACGAAACTTGTACAGTTTCTCTCTGCCCATTTTTACCCCCATGAAAATATTGTTATTTGAAAATAGCATAGTAATAGCATGGGGTTGGAGATATTGTCAGTATATTTGCTATTTAGCTTTGATATATTTTCTGGTGTTATCTCAATTTATTCTCTTCTCTCTCTAGACAAGTTGGCGTTAGGAATGGAATGTTTTTTGGGCAAGCTAAGCAGCTGTGTCCCAGTCTTCAAGCTGTTCCATATGATTTTCATGCGTATAAGGAAGTTGCACGAACGATGTATGAAACACTGGCAAGGTGCAGTGTACGATGTGTTCACTTTCGTGTCTCTTGATTCTTTTAGATTATATTAAAGATAATTCCATTTTGTTTAAGGATTGTCAGAATTGCTTTTGCTTGACTCAAGAAATCTTTGCTTAGCAACCCAGCGTTACAACCCTTCTTTGAGCAGAGTTCCAGTAATGATATTTTTTTTAATAAAGAAGATGCAAATTTACATATATTCTAAATATTTAGAAATGCGGTTATTATATAGCAGCATACATAGTCATTGCAACTGTTGTTATTCAGTAATCATATTTAGTTCAACTTCAAGGGGCATTTTTCCACTTCTGAAATTTTTCCAATGTTTACAGAATATCTGATTCTCTGCCTCCTTCTAACCATTGAGTCCATTTCCATTTTTGGGATCTAGATTAAGATGTGGACTTGACTCCTTTTTATTAGTGTAATTACACATGTTGGGTTGACAGGGACTAGAATTGTTTGAAGTAATTAGTTATGCCAAAAGTGAGTTTATTAAAAATTAGTTTTTAGTAATAGTTTATAGAAGGTGATTAGTTATCTTAAGACTTTTGAAGAATTTTTAGAGTGCCAGCACATTTAATATCAATTCAGAACCAAAGCTTACAAAAAATGTATGCAGCATACTTTCTCTGTAAAGGGTCAGAGAAAGTAGCTCTCTAGGATAACTGCCCAGCTCTGCTGTGTTGTGTAAGTGAAAGAAGTAGCTGTTTTCCTTCCAGGAAAACTGTACTTACCAGACTAGGCTTCTGAACCATGGGCAGTTGTTATCAACCTACAATCGATTTTTTCCCCAAGAGCTTCTCGTCTCTGTCTTTACCTCATTCTCTTCTTTCTGATATTTTTTTTTAAATACTGTTTACTGAACATCCGTTTATTAAGTACGAAGTATTATTTGATACTGCTAACCTCACATAGAAAGTCCATTCTTCTCATTCAGGGATCTTGATAACATAAAGGGGGAAAAGACAAAGGGACTAATGACATTGTCTGACATTAGTAAGTAGGATTGAATACCAAGTGATAGGCCAATTATAATAATGTTGTTTACCATCAAGTCAGAACTGACCCTCCGGTGGTTTTTCAGAGGCAGTTAATCACATGGAAGGAGATTGCCCATCCTTCTCCTGCAGAGCAGGTGGTGGATTCGAACTGTGTGCCTCGGGATTTCAGTGCAGCTTCTTGCCACGAGGCTACCAGAGCTCTCTATTATAATAACTGTTCTTGAGAGTGTAAATGCAGAAATACTGGTTTTATCAAGTCAAAAGCATGCTGTAATTTCTGTTACACAGCTGAGGTCTTTTGTCACATTCCAGTTGTGAACTGGTGACTGAGCTTAGTAGTTGTATTGCTGTGGATTGGTTATGGTGACCCTCAGGCAAATTTATCAGCCTGGACCTTGGATTATTAGGAGTTGAGGGATAGTTATCCATGCTAGTTCTGGTAGCATTTTAGCCAGGGGAGACATTTTCAGCAGCATGTAGCTCAGAGCAGCTTAAACTCGAAAGAAAAATTCTTCACATCAGTTATACTTTTCTACTCTCAAAAATTTTACCATTTGTTTCAGTATAAGGACAACACTCATTTCTTGATTAAATTTTTAGTATTCTGAGACGTAACCTACAGAAAAGCATAGATGAGAGATGAAGACTAGCCCTTGTGCTAAATTTTACTTGCTGAATGGATGGATTACTGAAAAGATTTTTTTTTTATACTGAGATTTCTCTGATTCCCGGACATTTCTGCTTCGGTTTTATTTCATGGCCTTTAGTCCTTTTAAAATTAACATTGTAGTCACATAGCAGGTCTTATTTCCCCTCTTCTCTCGTTATGTAAAACGAATCTTTTGTGAGGATAGGTCAATATAACTTAAGACCAAAATACTAGAACAAAATATCTTTACCTTCAGGGAATGTAGGCAATTGCAAGGATTGGCTGTTTTATTTTACTACATCCAACCTTACTGTTCCATTTAATTATGTGGGTCTATTTAATTATATTTTCTAGAGAACAGCAGTTACTTATTTCACTGATTTTGGTATAAGATTTGAAAATTTTTAGAATGAATGTTTTGATCTAATTCACCCAAACTTTGCCATTTTGGGGAGGTTTACAGAGTAATAATTTCTATTGTCCCTTTAACAATTACTATGAGAAGACAATAATTAACTGTGTAGAAAAAAGATAAAATGGTATGAAGAAATATTATAATGACACAAGTAAAGTGATTTCTTTTTTATAAAAGATAAATTTATGTAATGTGCTAACTTTTACTGTGTTAAACTTTGAGAGGAAATATTGAGTGACTGTATTTGTTTAACATATAGTGAGCTGAAGCTGTAACTCATTTTTGCTGTATCTTAACAGCTATACTCATAAAATTGAAGCTGTCAGTTGTGATGAAGCACTAGTAGACATCACTGAAATTCTTGCAGAGACTCGACTTACACCTGATGAATTTGCAAATGTTATCCGTATGGAAATCAAAGACCAAACTAAATGTGCTGCCTCAGTTGGAATTGGTTTGTATTCAGTTTGTCTTATATTACTCATTTTACTTAATGCATTATTTTGAAATCTTTGAATGTAACTTCATTTCAAGAAGTTTACTTTTGGCTTTTATTAGCTCTATCAGTTAATATACTGCATAGGACTCTCACTTTTAAAAAAGGTGTTAGTGTTACTTACATATGTGCAAAACTCTGCCAGTGCAGAAATTTAACACTGTTTAAAATCTAAATGGTTTTAGGAGAATTTTTGTAAGTAACTCATTTGTAGTTGCCTTTGTTAGAGAAATGAAGACAATATTGTGATCAGTTTTTTGGAACAATTTTTATTTTAGGTTCTAATATTCTCCTGGCAAAAATGGCAACTAGAAAAGCAAAACCAGATGGGCAGTACCACTTAAAGCCAGAAGAAGTAGATGACTTTATCAGAGGTCAGCTGGTTGCTAATCTACCAGGTAAACACAAACCTTTTTAAGTTCTATTAATAGAAGTTAGTAGACTGTATTAATAGCATTTTAGACATCATCTGCTTCTTTATGCTTTCCATCTGTGTGACCATTTTCTCAAATAAGATTTTTTTAAAAACAGAAAATTTTGAGCTGCTTTACAGTGCCATAAAAATGAAGAATTCCTCAATGAGATGCCAGCTTGCCCTTTTCTCACCTTGCCTTTCCATTTCTTTCCCTGCTGCATTTTTTTAATCCTCTAGTGGTGCATTCTGCATTTCTAATTCAGGTGCTCCCACAGTCTTGTCAGTATGCTCTTTGGCCTTAGTAAATTTTCTTTTTCTCTTATTAAAAAAATATTTTTTTAATGCGAATCACCTTGATGTATCAGCACCTTAATGCTACATTTTACTTTTGCTTTTCATTTGCTTTATTTGTCAAAAAGAAAAATAAATTCTGAAAAAAATTGAAAAGATAATTTGATGAACTTGCCAGTTAGTCCTTGAAATAACTCATAATTTAAATGGTGTACTGTTAGGCCAAAGATAATTTTGTGTGTCAAATCTATTTATAAAATCATCCTATAGGACTAAGAGCAGTGAGTTTTGAGTTTATCAAGCAACTAGTTTCCAAAATAGAAAATTTATTAGCTGTATTAGAAAATGAAACCTAAAGAAAGATGAAATATTTTGTTAACTCTGAAGGGCTGAAATAAAACTTGATCACACCTACAAAGGAGCAGTGAGGTCAGTTTAAAAGACTAAGGTGCTTAAAAAAAATAATTAAAAAAAAAAGACTAAGGTGCACCTAATTCAGGTTACCTTTCTTTGGTATTGGAACAAATATGGATCTCTTTCAATCAGTTGATGGTTGTCCTCCAGGTTTATTTAATATGCTACTTTCACCAAAAGGTAGGTCAACTCAAAAGAAACTTAACAAAGATGGAGAAAATCTGAACTATACAGTTGGCCAGCTTGCCCTTGTGGTTATATACAGGGTATTGTACCCAATTAAACATCAGATCACTTTGTTCTCAAGTGTACACTGTACATTTTCTAGAATTGATCACATATTAGGAAACAAAGCAAGCTGCAACAAATTTGAAAGCATTGAAATAATACCAAGTATTTTTTCAACTACAGTGCTAGAAAATTAGAAATTAATGACAAGATGATACAACTTGGAAAAGCACTTACATGGAAGCAAAATAACAACCTGCTAGAACACCATTGGGTTTTAGAAGAAATGAATAAAATGAAAAAGTTCCTGGAAACAAATGATCATGAAAATACAACTTAGCAAAATCTGTGGGATGCAGCTAAGGCAGTCCTCAGGGAGCAGTTTATAGCAGTAGGCAAACACATTAAAAAGGAAGAAAGAAACACAAGAACTCAACACATCCATCAGTTACAGAAAGATCAACAATTTAATCCCACAGCCTCTAGAAGAAAGGAAATTAGGACAAGAGCAGAAATCAATGCCAGAACAGGAAGACAATTGAAACCAATAACAAGACCAGAAGATGGTTTTTGAAAGGGTCAATAAAATAGACAAGCCGTTGGCAAAATTAACAAAAGAAAGAGAAGACACTAATAACTTGAATAAGAAAAGGGAAAATGAAAAACAAGGAACTCATGAAATACTATTCAAAATGGATGACCCTGAAGGACATTATGCTGAGAGAAATATTTCAATCACAAAAGGTCAAATACTGTATAGTGCCACTGTTGTAAAATGGGACTGACATAGGAGTGGGGGGGGAGGCTGAGAAGGATGGAATAAATTATGTATACTGCACTGAAACAGGTGAGAGAGAGAACTGTTTAAAAGGTATATATATGATTAGGTATTACTGTCATGACAGGAGTCCAGAACAAAGGCTGCATAGTCGAGTGGACTTGCGAGGAGGGATTGTATAACAAAGAAAGAATTTTTCTTTTCAAAGACTTCTCTTAACTGGAGGGGAGGGACGGGCAGGGAGAAAAGTGCAACAATGAATGAATGGAAATCCAAAATCTCTAAATTTTCATTAAAATTAATTATAAAAAGAGGTGACATCACAACCAATTGAGCTGAAATTAAATCAATAACAGATTATTATCAAAATTTATATTCTGGTAAATTAAAAACTTGGTGGAAATTGACAAATTCCTAGACGTTCACACTCCACCCAGATTGACACTGTCCAACATCGAACAGTTGAACAGATCCATCCCAAAGAAGAAATTGAACAAGTCATGAAAAGACTCCTCCACAAGAAAGTCCTGGCCTACATGTCTTTACAGCTGAATTCTACCAAATATTTGTAGATGAGTTCTACTCAAATAATTTCAAAAAAATAGAAAAAGAAAGAATACTCCTAAAGTCATTCAGTGACACAAGCGTAATCCTAATAAACTGTACTCTCCCTTGAGAGCACCAAACAACATCTGTGTGTGTGTGTGTGTGTGTGTGTGTGTGTGTGTTTTACTGTAGCTAACGGAAAAAAAAGACAAGCATTTCAATATCTTTACATGGAAAAATCATCAAATTGTAATTACTAATAACTATAAAATTGTTGGCCTTTTGGACTCTTATGTAAGTGTGTGTGTGTGTGTATGTGTGTCAGAGAGAGAGAGCACGCACGTGTGACACTCCCCTCCTAACACTCCCCAAAATGATCAAATATTTCGGCTTCCTTTCTATGATAGGCACCTATTTTTAAGACATTTCTCTTTCTAGGTCAGATAGTAACTCTTAATACTGTTTTGAGGTAAACCTCTCTTTTGTGATCAAGCAGATGATGTTGGTTTTGCAGAGTTTTTGTGCCATTTATGATGGAGAGTGTTCAAGACTGGCCATTTATAATGAAAGAATTTTTTTTTTCAAATTCACTTATTCACCAAAAGTAACTACTGTATTTTTAGATGCATATTTTAAGCTATTTTTTTAAAATATAGACAGCACAGTTAAATGGCTTAATTAATTTTATTGGCATTTTATGAAATCTTGAATTTACATTTATTCTAATAGCAGTCTTTCGCCTGAATTTTTGTGTGTGTGTGTGAGAAAAATTTTTATTTAGAATTAGTCAACTGGAGTTGGTTTAGATGATCCTCATTTTGTTGGCAACATCCAAAGCATCATAGTCAGGAGCAGGTTGAACATAAGCCTTCTTCTCTCCATCAGGCCTAATTAGGGTGTTGATCTTAACCACATCAGTGTCATAGAGCTTCTTTACAGCTTGTTTGATTTGGTGCTTGGTGGCCTTGACATCCACAATGAACACAAGTGTGTTGTTATCTTGTATCTTCTTCCTGGCTGACTTAATAGTGATCAAGGGAAACTTTATGATGGCATAGTGGTCAAGCTTGTTTCTCCTAGGGGTGCTCCTCCAGGAGTATTTGGGCTGTTTTCAAACTCTCAGTATCTTAGGCTGCTGGAAGGTGGATGACATGCACATGGGGTTTTTTTGGTAGCTATAGATGCCCTTCAGGAATGCTGCGTTGGCCTTTAATGCCTTTACTTTGGCTTCAGTTTTAGGAGGGGCAAGGGCTTCCTTCTTCACTTTTGCTATCATCCTTGTAAAAAGCTAGCCTGAATTTTTTAAGGGCTTTCTTTATTTTTCAGAAAGTGGATTTTTATTATTTTTCTTCTTAACTAATTTTACTCTTTGTTCTCATTTGCTTCCTAACTGGAGAAACTTGTCAACAAACAAGTGTGAAGTTGTATATCTTGGCTAAGCTCTTATGCACAGCTTTCCATTTCCTAAAGCCCCCTAAATCAACTTTTTTCTTTCATTTATTTATTTTTTTTATATTTATTATTTTTGTGTTTTTGTGCCATCAAATCGGATCTGACTGGCACAGGATGAGATTGTCACTCCTTCTCCAGCAGAGCATTTGGTGCATTCGAACCGCACACCTCTGGAATTGCAGTTCAGCTTCTTACCAGTAGGCCACTAGAGCTCCCTAAACCGACTTTTTTTTTTCTATAATTATATTTTATTAATTTTCATAAACATTTACAGAGATTTTGGGTTTCCATTCATTCATTGTTGCACTATTCTCTCTACCCTCCTCCC